TATTTGACAGGGATGATGGCCCTGGCAGGCGCGCAACCGTTGTTGCAGAAGTTCGAAGCACGTGAAAAAGTTGCTCGCAAGAGCCCGTTTGACAGAAATGTTGAAAAAGTATGGGTTTCCTAAGAAATCCGCAAGAGCGCGCGGGATGATGTTTTGAAACTTTTTTTTTGCAAAACCATTGGGTTTTTCATGTTTTTATGTTAAAATCGCTACGAAAACTAAGGTTTTGGAAGGATTTCATCTTGCGCGCGCGAGTGTGCACTTCGTGTCATTTTTTGCAAAGGATTCTTGAAGTTTGGTTATGTTAGAACAAGACATGTCATTTTATATTGTTTTTTGACAGGGAAAGCGGGCGTCAACAAAACAACCGGATCCGGACTCCCCCGTTTTGCCTGAGACTTCCTCACGAAAATGATGAAAATGTGGCTGCGGCCTAGGCGCGGCGAGGGGGGCGTGCACCAGGGGGCCCAACAATAATTATTCTTTAGAAGTAATAATATTCAACAACAACAACAACAACAACAACAACAACAACAACAATCACTTTACCCGAACGCTCAGTGTTCTCACCAGTGCCAGGGTTTTCATGCGACGCCAGCCAATACCCCCACTTTGTGGGGGGGCAGTGCAAGCTCTACCAAATATCCACACGACTCTTCGCCACCACCCACACCCAGCTTCCCGCCCTATGACGTTCGGACACTTCACTTCGTGGCCTGCGGACGACCGTGGCTACTACACTGGCGTGGAGTACACACCCACAGAAGTTGTTAGGACAGCGCGCGCGGGTAGAAATTTTGAAAAGTCGTGCAGGTGTTTTTCGAGGACCTACGGTGCGATTCGTGTGATTTTATGATGCGCGGTGCTAAAATTCTTAAGAAGCCCAATGGTTTTTGGAGATTTCGGCGTGCGCGCGCGAAGAAAAAACGAATGTGTCCCGCATGGTATTATTTGACAGGGATGATGGCCCTGGCAGGTGCGCAACCGTTGTCGCAGAAGTTCGAAAAAGTTGCTCGCAAAAGCCCGTTTGACAGAAATGTTTAAAAAGTGTAACAACAACAACAACAACGCCCGGGCCCGACACTCGACCCTTCTCACATGGGGCCGTAGCTTTCGCTCGTCCCCCAAATCCGCCGCTCCAACACAATCGGCGCCCCCGCTCGATACTTCCCTGCTTTTACCTCAGGACCTGTGCCCCCGCGACGCGCCCTGCAAACAACAACGATTCCGCGCGACACTTCCCCCGCTAATACTCGAGACTCCCAGAAGGCCCCGAGGCTTCGATAGTCCCTGTTGAACCGAAATAACAAATTTTTACTGCTGGACACCACGAATGCGCTGTCGCGCCGCGCGACCTCGCTCTCGCTCACGTCATGGGGTATCGCGTCGTCGTCGCCGTCGTCGCCGCCGCCGCCGTCGCCGCCGTCGTCGCCGTCGTCGTCGATAAACAACGTATTTTTGTTGGACACCCTGAATGCCCTTTCGCGCTCTCGCGCCTGCTCCGCGCGACCTCGCTCTCGCTTGCGTCCTGGGGTATCGCGTCGTCGTCGCCGTCGTCGCCGCCGCCACCGTCGTCGCCGTCGTCGTCGTTGTCGTCGATAAACAACGTATTTTTGTTGGACACCCTGAATGCGCTTTCGCGCTCTCGCGCCTGCTCCGCGCGACCTCGCTCTCGCTCGCGTCCTGGGGCGTGGCGTCGTCGCCGTCGTCATCGTCGCCGCCGCCGCCGCCGCTGCCGCCGCCGTCGTCGTCGTCGCCGTCGTCGTCGTTGTGCTCTGGAGGCCGTCGGGCGCTCCCGGAATGTCTGGAGACACCTGGGGCCAGGGGCATTCCCGGAGGAGGAGCGCAGGGAGATGGACGACGACGACGACGACGACGACGACGACGGCGACGAGGACGACGACGAACAGCGGCGGCGGCGGCGGCGGCGACGACGACGACGACGAACCCCGGCGCCATCAGAAAGCGTCCGACGCAGAAAGGGCCCCCAGGAAAAAATCGAAAGCCTGGAGACCTAGCTCTGAAGATTCTCTCAGAAGCTTGCGGGCAATCCACAGGCCCCCCCAAAAAAGGTCGTGAGGCCTCTCCCTGAGGTCTTAGGCCATTCAGGCAACATGACACCTAGAAGCAAAGCCTGGGCACGGGGATCGCGAAAGCGATGTACCATCCAGGTTGGAGATGTTGAAAAGCCTCGGACGAGGTATTGCCGACACTTTCCCGGGCGGGAGATCAGGGAGAGGGAATATCGGAAGAACAATCCACCATGATGGTGGAACTACCATGATGTACGCATGCTGCGTATTGAAACACAACGCATTCGGGTAAACTAACAAATTGTTGTTGTTGGTTGTTTTGTTCTTGTTGAACTCTTACTATTGAACAAGTATAATTAATTCCCCCCTCCGGGGCACGTTGTGCTTGCTCAAGCGAAGTGCCCTTCCCTGGGCTCGCGCCCTGCGTTTTATCAAATCCGCCGAACCTGTCGGCGTGTGCGAGGGGCTTGGCTGTTCGAGTTGTCGTCTCCGTCGGTCGTCGCCTCCGTCGTCCCCTTTCCCTGCAGCTTCCTTCTCAAGCACGTGAGCGAGAGAAAAATCGAGCAGTGTCGTAATCGAGTCGAAGGGAAGCCCCTTCCCTTTGATCCCTTCCCCAATGGGGGGGGGGAGGGTCCCGAGGGGGGGTGGAGGGGGGGGGGGCCGGGGGGGGATTCAGTTTTTCCTCGGGCGGCCTAGAAACCTCGAAAACACTCCAAATGAGGTCCGAATGCCCCAGATGGCCCCCGAGACGGCCCAAGAGGGCCCCGAGTCGCCCAAAGATCGGCCGAAAACGCCCAAGATAGCCCCAAGACCGTCCAAGAAGCCTCCAAGACGTCCCAGGCCCCCTCCAAGAGACCCCCAGGAAGCCCCAAGAGGCCCCCACGAGGCTTCCAAGCGGCCCCGAAGAGCTTCCCAAGAGGCCCACGAACTACCCCCAAGAGGCCCCCAAGAGCGCTCGTCGTCGTCGTCGTCGTCGCCATTCAGGGTCGGCGGCACCGGCCGGAAGGCCTTCGAAATAATGTCTTGGGTACAGTGGAGGCGCGTCCACAAGAAACCTACCACAAGAAACCCAACCCTGAGACCCCAGGACGTCCATTGACATTTGGTGTGGGAACGTCACGTGATCCATGGCAAAACCATCGAAACCCAAGAAACCCAGTGCACCCTGGAGGCAAGCAGGGTGTTTCTTGGCATGGGCCTCCACTGTATCAGAATTGAAGTTGGGCCCAGGTTTACAACAACAGCGGTTCCCGCCTGACACGTCCTCACAATGTATTCCCAAATCGCGCTCTCGCGTGGGACGCCCCCGCAACTTATTCGGACGCCGCGCCCTCGACAATCAGGAATCACGCTGTCGCTGTGGATTTCTTCACGATGTATTTAGGAATCGCGCTATCGTTCGAGAGTTCCTCGCGATCCATGCGCGACGCACGCTTCAACAACCCGCCTGCGCGACCTGGCCGCCTGGGCCCGCCTCTCCCGACCCGCCTGTTAGGGTCTACCCGTCCGATCTGCCCGTCTGGTTCTGCCACGTGTTTTCTGCTCCTGGCCCTCCTCCTGCGACTCTCTCGTGCTCTATCCTCCTTCCTCCTCCTTGTCCCGTCATTCCATCCGTCCTGAGGGGATGAACGAAACACACGTTGCAGGTAAGGAAGATATACCCCGTAAGGGGGTACGATCGAAGACGAAAAGGGCGGGCATCGAGGGTTTGGAATATACGTGTTGAATGGAACGCGGGCAGATAAGAGCAAGCAGTCTTAACATGGTTGTTCGTGTTGTTGTAAGCCATGGGCCAACAACACAGTTTGGTGACACCAAGCTTCCCTGAAACCAACAACAAAAACAAAACACAAAAAACAGGGTGCGAGCCCCGAGGGGGGCACGTCAATCGAAACATACACTGGTTTCTGGAGGGGGGGATCAACAATACATAATGCTTTGAAGTGGTAGCGACAGCAGCAACAACAACTGTAACAATGATAATGATGTTAAGACAGATCGCTCTTATCAGCTCGCGTGCCACTCGACACATATATCCAAAAACCCTCGGAATCCGCCCTTTTCGTCTTCGATGATACCCCCTCCTGGGGGTATAGATTCCCTACCAGCCGCATGTGGTTGGCGCACCCTTTCAAAAAGAGGAAGGAGGGGAGGAGTGAAGAGACAAGGGGGAAAGAGAAGGATGGAGCACGAGAGACATTTGCAGCAGGAGGGTCAGGAGCAGCAGCACAAGTGGCAGAACAAGCCTGGCGTGTCGGGCGGGCGGACCCTAACGGACAGATCGGGCGGGCGGGTCCAACGATAACTCGATTCCCAAGCAAATCGTTCGGAAATCCCCAGCTAAGGCGCGATTTGCCAGTGTCGGGGACATGGTGCCGGAATACATTGTGAGGTAGCATCATGCGGGGAACCGAGGTTGTTGTTCTTGCTGTTGATGTAAGCCGGGGGCCAGGGACGCAGTTTGGTGACCACAGGCATTCCCTTCTAGAAAACAGGGTGCGAGCCCCGGGATCGTCGTCATCAACACCACCATCATCACAACCACCATCATCCGATTCGCCCTTCATCTTCCTCCTGCGAGAAAATCAGCAGTGCGCGCACCCCACACACGGCACAAAAGTATCTGTTCCGTAGAGCTGCAGCTGGAAGAGGAACGCCAGTGAGCCATGAGAGGACGGGAGGGTGGAACGGGGAGCGGGCGCAGGAGGTGGAGGGAGAAAGAACGAAGGGAAGCGGAAAGGACGGGGGCATGGGAGAGGGAGGGACAGGAAGAAAGACAGAGAGACAGAAGAGAGAGAGAGAGAGAGAAAAAAAAAAAAAGAGAGAGAGAGAGAGAGAAGTTACGAACAACCTTCCAAAAACGAGAAGAGAGGGAGGGACAGAACAAAGAGGAGGAATCCTCTGTGTCAGGACAGGCACCCCGTCCCAGCCGGCGAAGCTGCTGCTGGTGCCCCCCGGAGCTCGCGATCAGGAAGACGTGATACGCTTCACGATGTCCGTCTTGAAC